CTTTAACATAAGTTCCATTCATCAGTCATCTCACCGTGCCAATAAAATAAATTTTGACTTTGTAAGGAATATACACACTAACATTCTGTTTATTCATACTCGATATTTATATTGATTTACTTCAATTCTACTAGAAACGTCCATGACTTTTAAAGTCTCAAATTAATCGCGAAACGCGTACTGTGTATATTTACTTTCACATAAATTGGTTCCTCAACTAAATTTCTCCACGCTCGAGAAATGTAGTCAAACTCAATACAAAAAAGAAAAACGTCGCGAGTCTTGTTTCTTCGTTTATCGAAGTACCCTCCGAGATTAACTGTATTAAAGCAATACGTCTACTATCTAGAACATAACAAAATCAGAGAAACAAGACGTCGCTTATTTTTCAGTCAAGACACTTTTGCGAAAAATGCTTGTGATATATTTAAAACGTTTGTATAAAAATGTTTTCTATTATCGATTATAATAATAAATACTTATTTATAACAACATGATAGTTGGTCGTTTCTCTACTACATCCTAGTATCCGTTCGACGGAAAACGGTAGTGAACTTTCGAAGTGGATCTCGATTGACAGCGACCCAGAGAACTGTGATGCCCCTTCGCGCTACAGGCGATTGCTCCTTGCTGGAAGTCATTGATACTTTCTCATTCATTTTCTAAATGCATGGACATCGTTGCTTCCCATGGGCGAGTCGGGTCACATAAGTGAAACGAAGCTGTACCAATTGTTCGTATGCTTCTTTTCGCAATGGTACACTTCACATGTTCACTTCCCATAACTTAAAGTAATTATCGATCACCTCGAGGAACCATTCGCGTCGCTGAGTATCGTTGAAGATGGGAGCCAACGTTCGTAATTGCAGCTGCAACAACGCCTCGTTACCAAGAAGTTCGTCGAGTTTCTTCAACAGCGTCGCATCTCCGTGCAATTTCAGCAAACTAGCGTGTGAGAAAAGGTAATATTGATTCCGGAGCTGTTCCACTGCCCATGCTTCAACGGTACGGTTCCCGCTCGCTGCCTGAATCGCGCCGATATGCTCGGCGTACCACGGTGAAAAGTAATTGCTTAACTCGAGATTCGATAGGTTTGCGACGCCGCCTGTCTTCAAACGCTCCTTTATGCGAAGGTACGCTTGAGGCGTGTAGACAAACACCTGGAACAATCATTTCAATTGTTATCGACTTTCAAGATCCTGTTACTTAGATATATTCCAGTTACTTGAATGAATCAATTGCTATCAGAATTTAAAATTTAGAAGGTTTACGTAGCCTCACCTTTATGGTATAGATCAATATAAAAAAAATAATTGTGGTGTGAATAATTTTCCGTAGTCAACGTTAAACAATATGACTATTTGGAAATTGATTTGCACAAGAGTATGCTGAAGCATTTAAATATTAAGTATTCATGAATCTTAAATCTTCTACGAGACATCTAAAGATAAAATGATTGGTATCGCTAGTCCCGGATAAACTACGTAAACTTCGGAAGGTGAATATTGATTATAGGAATATTACCAGGATATCTAACTTCATCGCTAGACGTAGTTTACGCTGACAAAGACACATAATTAACAAAATATCGGATTCTCAAGTTGCATCGTGAATTTCAATTACTCGATTGCGATGATGCAAAGCATTGTAGATGCTGCGAGCCCAACAGTTCCCGAGCGCAACATCCATCAGGATCTTTTAACGATGGAAGATAAACATTGCGATTCACACTCTGCAATAGCTCTAAATCACGTTGAGCAATCTTGTCGTGCAAGCAGTTTAACGATCTTTGGGTGCGCACTTACCAGGAAACGGTTTGCGGATACTGTTCGTGAAATATGTACAGGCACTTGCGAAAGCTAAGCGTTCTATATAGACTAACGTTCGAGCTTACTCAAATATATCACAGAAAACAATAAGAAAAATTCAGTTCTACTGAAGCGTTGGTCACATTTAATCTAACAGAACACCTAAGTATTGCAATATTTGGAAAGAGAAAAGAATTTTCTGCTAATAACATACATTCTTAATTTTAATAAGGTAAAAGTATCGAGGACTACAATCACCTATCGTGAATAATACCGAAGCTATTCACAATCAACCGTTCACATGCAATTAAAAACTAATTGGTAAACCATTCTCGAACTGCACGCAAAATCTAGGGAACAGAATATAGAACAGGTAATTAATCTCACCTGGTACAATGAATTCCCTGTGACATAGGCAGCGATGTAGTGCGAGCCGAAGTTTTTGATGAATCGAACAACGCTGGCGGTGTCACCGACCGTGACGTTCTTCGTTTCTCTAAAAACGGCTTCGTCTAGGATCATCGACTCCGCCGTGCCAGCCAGCTTCTCGGTTTCTCGGAACCTGGCGACTCGCACTAGCACGTAACAATGCTCGCCATTGATGAACGAAGCGTTGATGCCCAGGTGACGGGCAATAGCGGCTTTCGACCAGCTACCGGTGAACGCCCGCCATGGCCTCTCCAGCTTTTCGAACGTGAAATCCCGGAAGTAGGCCTGTAAAAGTTGCCGGATGTTGTCGCAGAATTCCATATGGAAATCACCGTCGAAGACCGTGGTCTGCTGGCGCTGTCTGGTCGCCGTCCGAACCGGATTCATGAAAACGTCTAGCGTCGGCTCCCGGAATATCCAGGTGTCGGTGTCGTTTCTGGGCAACACTCTCATACTGATGCTCAGGTAGCCGTATCGGCTGAAGATGTTCACGGCGCCGCCGAGACGCGGCCCCTGCGACCCGTCGCTGACCCGCGCTCCCACTAGCAACGCGAGCATCCACGCCAGGACCAAGAATCGCGTTCGTGACCACATCTCTCGCGGCTGCCTGCGGTGGTACCACCTGAAACGAAAGAAAAACTGCTTTAAAACTGATATTAGATGCTTCGACACAACTTGCTAACCGTGATCTAACTCAATGGCTAGTGGTATCCGGATTATAAATCATTGTTTTAGTATTCTTTGAATCATACGACACTTGGAACAACATTGATTACAGATAAGAAGTCCTTCGAGTAGACACCTTTCGCGGTCAGAGCTAACTTGATCACAAAGGTGGCGACTGACCGATCTTTGGTTTCATTTTACTCAATTTTAAATGAATTTGCACTAACCCTTTAGACCGGGCAACAATTTCTACGATTGTTATAGAGACTACGAAAGAACATTGGATTTCAGTTCGAATGAATTTTGGAAGGCATATTTAAACTTCAGTGTTTCACAACGTAGCATTTTCAGAATCTAATTGGAGCATGCCAGCGCAACTGGCGTTCCGAGTGCAAAGGGTTAAAATGCACAACACTGACCTTAGGAACATGATCATTCATCTCACACTTTCGTCACGTTCACGATAAAACTCACACCCTAATAAATCGTGATCATTGGCAAACGATAAATGTAATCACTACGCAACTGTCCAACGAGATACCTTCCGCAGTATCGGATGATCTTGGATGCTTCTATCAGATTGCAGCGAGAGGTGCGTTCTCCGTTCCCGGTTCACAGTGTCTGTCGGCGTCTGGCGAGTGCACGCGTGGATACGCGATGCAACGGGTTGCCGGTAGATAGCCCCGTGTAATCTCGTTTTGTAGGTCTAGGTGTACGTTCCCGAGGCATTTGCACGAGGCAGCGTGCGACCTTCATCCCCACCTGATCGCCGGACGAACACCTTGGTCTATTAGCGTTCTCTCTGGTGACCCTTCAGAGAAAGGACCACTGCGGGACAGGATAAAATCCGCGCTTGTTCAGGATCCGGCGTTTTTCTTCGTCTTGAGTCTCCAGGTGACCAGGAAAAGTTAGCTGTTGGTGCTGTCCGACCCTCCATCAAGGTAATAGTTCGTCCGGCTCGTTCGATCGCGTGCAGGCGAGTCTGTACATCTTGATAAAGTCCAGGTGACGCGATTGATTGCTATGCACGCTGGCTACGATTTATATGCCACTCAGCGTTAACGGTATTGCTCCAAGTAGACTGCGCGTCTATCATCCGGTCATGGCATCCATCGAAACTTGTGTCCAAAAGTACAACTTGATCGTTTCCGCATTACCAGCTATGTCAGCTATGCGGCGCGCATAAGTGGAATGATTTTTTACCCGAGTCGATTAACATCATATTGAAATTTCCATCAGCCGAAGGTGAATCGTTCGGTCCTTGGTGTTCTTTTCTTCGCGCGGGAAAGTGTTCCAAGATCAAGGTCCCGGAACAGACATCGCTGTACAGTGTCATTCATGCGTGTATCGTGTAACACGCAAAGGCTGCTTCGAGGCTTTGGACTTCTTCCAACCTGGCAGTCGTCCTGGCGTTGCGATTGTTTTGCACCGTTGCGCCGCTGGAGACACCGCCGGTCGTTGATTACTTGTTGAACATGGCTTTTCTGTCCCGGCTACCGCTGATAATTACGCGGTCAGTGGTTTTGTTGGCTCGGCCTGCGGTAATCCTCGCTGTCTTTGCACTGGAACCTCTGATTCGAATATCGACGGGAAACTTTGCGTTACGTTTCGCGAGACTGTTCCCGATTTAATGGCGGGTGGCAATCCCACTCGCGGAGAACTCGGAAGAATGGGAACGGGAGAACGACGGAGAACACCGTGAATGGAGAATAGCTTCGTGGCGTCAGCTAATACGGTAAAACGTGATTGTTCTTGCAGGAGCGCATCCTGGGGTATAATGAGGCGGAAGTGAATGAGACGGACCTAGACAGTCACCGTACTAGACGTGCTGTGTCACGGTTGGACTTGGGCTCTTGGAACGAACTGTAACGTAATGTGGGCGTTGCATTCGTCTTGTGACAACATACGGGGAATGAATTCATTGTACACGTATGGAACCGTTACAGTAACGAACGACGTGGAATGTCACCTATAAAATTAGGCCTTTCACCAAGGCACATCTAGCAATTTATATGCGACTTTGGTGACAGGACGTTAGACAAAACGAAAAATCAACCGTTTACTGCTGTGATACATAGGCGCCTCGAAAATATCTGTGATAGATTGTTGTGCTTAATATGTAAGCCATAGTTGAATACACGACTTGTTTATGTCATCGTGGCCGAAGAGAAATGGCAGTTAAAAGATATGGGTGTTATTTAACCTAATGGTGGTACCAGAAAGTTCAGGGTGTTACCAAGGTAATTATAAAATGTTGCAAGTCTCCCAGGCTAATAGGAATACCGAAAGGTTACATTGATTTAATATGTCTAGGATTCTGAAAAAATGAGAAGAACATTGAGGACATTACTGTTTCTTGGACATTTCTAAAGGAAATTACACTTCGGAGTTCTACAAGACACATAGAATATAAAGACCATAGAGATAGGCACGTTAGAATCATCTAATCTTTAAAGGAGTACAAGTGTCTACAAACTAAAAACAAGTTTGATGTAGAAAAATTCAACAAATCAAAGAAGTTGTAACATTTTGAACAAACTGGGTTACAACATCACCAAAACTTCAACAGTGCTTTCCTCGAAATTATGTATTTTTTTACGGCAGACGTGAAAACTCGGGCTACGTTCGGCAGAATGACTTCGCGAACTTTGCAAACTTCGTCTCCCAGAAAGTGGATATTTTCTTCAGAAAAACACGGCTTCTCGATTAATATTCTACTCGATTAGTATATTTCAAAAGATATAAAGAATCTATTTACTTGCCAAGATTTCAAGTGATTATTCCTTCTTAACTAACAAATCACACGAACCTAATAAGGTACTTTGAACAGCTCCAGAACCATCGAATTCTCTCACAAATCTAGGAAACTTCCTTAAACTCGTACTATCCTTGAATGTGGTTCAACTAATAGATTTTCCCAGGCTTTAATTGTAATCCATATACGCCGCGGCGGTGTAAACGCAGCCTTCCAAGACCGAAGGTATGAAGTACGATCGGAGTGAAAGTGAAATTTAAGTCGCCCGCGCAGCACATTAGTCCCGTCTGTCCACAGGTTTTTGGTCTTGATAATATCCAGATGTATACGAGTCGGTCTGGTCAATCTGATTAACGTTCACGTAATCGAACGCCGTATCCGAATTCACATTATTACGACACGCGACTGGAAGGTTTAATCGATCCGAAACTTTAGGTCGATCCGAACGCATAAGTATTTCGTAGTTATCGTCCTTGACCCGCATTCTCGTTCGTGTTTTCTCCGTTTTAATGCTCATCCGTGGCAAAGATCGTCTGCAGTTTGTGCATCGCACAGTTTCCGAACTTGCGTAAACTTTGACATTCTATAATAGACCTTTATCCTTTGTCCCAATAACCTTTCCTTCTATCTTTCGTCCATAATTCATTGACGACGTGGAATTTCGACATTTTTCGAGGAAGCTACGCCGGTTGATGGTTTTCTCTATAAAATGTCGTCGTGTACAACGATAGTGTTTTACGGTAATGCGAGGATTAATTGAGGTATTGTCGATTTCTCCTGTGATAATACCGTCGCGTATTCCATTACGTCTCCGAACAGTTCGTTTTGACTGTGCCTCAAGCACCGCCCGTTGATAAAACAACCGTGCCAGTGAACTTACATAACGGGAAGCTTTTTATCGGTTTATCTTGAAAGGAAGATCGTTCCACATACCCAGATTCACAGTTGCTGTGTTGCAGACGAAAGTAGGTATGCATATTCATGAGATTACGACAAAAGGTTCGCCGCGTAGAGCCTCCACCCTCTGTGATTCTGTTCGTGACCAATTTAATGCTTAACACTAGTAGCATAGCGGTGATAGCGATAAGAAGACCGGTGTCGCGGTTAGTACTTAACGCCAACGACCAGCGTGTCAAGATAGACTTGAAATTACGGAACCGATTAAGCGTAGGTAATACTATAAACCATTACGTTCCCGTTATTATCAGATAACGATCAGTGAAAGAGAATTCTCATTTTCATGATCATAATTATCTTAAACACTTAAAATCCTACAATCGCGTTTCTATAGATTTCAAGAAAACAAAGTTTCTCTTTGATCCTTTCGCTACGGTACGTTTCAGATTAAAAGCGATTATTCGGTGGGAAACGAAGCAGCGACCATTCCCGCCATTTTATCAGATTATTTCGTAAGCAGCCTCGTTTTTACAATCCATTCTTAGTTTTAAACGGTACTGCAGATGTCTTTAACTACTAATAAAATCATTTTTTCGTATTTCGATATTTTTTCCTTTCAACTAATCTCTCACTATGTGTATAAGAACTCGATTATTTAATGCGAAAAGAGGAACATTGTTTACAGAATAATCTAACATTTACGTTTTTAATTCACCTTTTATAGACAATTACATATTCTATATAAAAATATTGTTATATAAAAAGTGGGCTACAAAACCAATACCCATCAGAATTCCACGACATGGAAGGTGTCCATTTAATGAAATAGAAACTGAAAAATTAGAGTTTATTATAGCGATCAACTATTTTTTAAGCGTCTTACACTTTATACATCCAACGATATGTTCACTTAACATATTACCAGAGAATGCGAATAATAATAAAATAATAATAAATAAATAAAAAATAATAATAAAAATAAATTTGTATGTTTAGGCAAGTAATTATAATGACCATACACGACTACTGACACTGCAGCGAACGATTTAGTCAGCGGGTACGATTAATCACATTAAGATTACACGCGTTTCATCCGTTCCTAGAACGTTCTTTGGCAAACATCCGTCCTGTCGAAGCTTCCGATTTGGTGAAGCGGAAGTGGAACCTGTTCCACTTTCGCCATTCTCTGTTAAGTGCAGGAAAGTGGCGTGTCGCCTTGATTAGAAGTTCACGGGCGTACAAACAGGTGAAGCTCGTAGAGTAAACGTATTGTCACTCTCTCAACGTATTAGGTATTCTCCTCAATGTTTCAAGGACACTCCGATGAAAGTGAAATTTCGTGGCCGCGCATGATCGACCTTAATTACAGGAAGAATATTACTCCTAAATTAGAATTCGGTTTTTGTGGGCACTCGCCGCGCGACGGACGTTTTCGTTCAACTGAAAGTTGAAAGATTTCGTAAAATTTAATGTTATGATTATAAACGGACGTGTTGTTTCTGTACACTTTGCTGATGATGCAGTGCACGATACACAAACTGTTATGTAACGTGCGTTATGCATGAGACGCGTGGCCTAACAAGGGAACCCAGCTGTAAGATAAACAGGTTTGCCCCAAACCGAGGAGAAATTTCGTACTCTTCGTGGCGAAAATTGCCGCTTGCTTGTTCGAGCGGTTATTACATGAAATATGAATTTTTTAGCAAATTAATCTGTTCGGAGTTTAATGCTACGGTTAAAATAGATGGTTAGAATAATGGAAATGGCTAAGTGCTATACACAATTCTTTCCTCTTGTTTTTTCTGTAGCTTTAATTAATACATTGGTAGTAATTCTTAAAAATCAATAGTAATTAAAAAAAGCATTTAAATATAAATAAAAAATTCGATAAAACAAACGTTACATCTCTTCTATAGGAAAAAGACAAAATGGGTATTTTCATTGCACTTTCTCATCACAATTGTAATAATTAATTTTCCACGTTTAATACTTCTATGCATTCACACTCATATACGACACAACACTTTGTCCGGTAACAATAATTAAATTCAGTGAAGTACATTAGGTTGTAAGTTTCCATCGATAATTTAAACTAGTCTTGACACAAATTTCATGGTGATCTGTCAATCAACGTGTCACTAAATTATGGACTACTCAAATTATGGATTTACATAAACAACCCCAATTATTTCAACTACTGACCTCGCATTTACCATCCCATACACATATACAAACACATACACATATATAAACACAAAAGACACCAGACTCGAAGTTTCACCAGCAACGAGCGTACTCTAGTACTCCTTGGATTATAAGGAGCACCTAACCGCAAGATATTTAAAAGAAAAAAATAGAGGTTGCTCGATGACGGGATATGTTAACGGTACCTTTTTGAAGTGACGATGCGTCGGGGTTGGCGGATATTCCGAAGAAAATATCCTCGGCAATGAAAGACCGCGCGTACGATGCGTTTCCGTGCGCGACCGATAATAACGCGATGGACAGCCGCGTCATGAAAAATCTCCATTGAAAGAACAATCGAGCACGCGGCGGGCAGTGCGATTCAGTTGTCGCCAGTACAAGGAGCGAGGTCTACGTGACGCAGAAGTCAATGGGGAAGAATTATTTAAGTAGCGTTGTGTGGTTGGGACAGCAAGAAAAGGGGGTCTCGCGTATTAGACACAGGAAGTGGTGCTGCGATGGAAGCACACCGCCCGGGGAAATCTTTCTCTCCATCTGATTTATTTAACACTTTCATCTCTATATATCGCCAGAATTTGGGTAACAGCTTCTCGCGCATATTTAACACATTACGTATCAGGAACGAGAAATCTCGTTTTTATATAAATACCTACGTGCCTACGTAACCTTGCCAATAACTTAAGAAATATCAGATTTCATCAAAACTAATTATTTACTTAAAATATATGATATATTTAAATTATTCTACGTATAGTGGTATAAGTCAGTCTCGTCGAAGATCACTGGAGACAGTCCAGTTTTCTGAAAATTGAACAGTAATGTGTCAACACTAGTATACTACCGAGCAGTTACAGTATTTTTCCATAATGAAAAACGAAAAAAGTGTATACAAATACACAGATCTCCTGTATAATTGTTCAC